CAAACATTCATTTTGCCATTAATTGTAATAATCCAGTGAGATTTTTGTTTGCACAAGGAGTCTGACAACAGCCAGTGCTTCACACAAAGATCTGATCTCATCATAATCCAGTCTGTCTGGAATGACATGAAGAAACAGAACAAACTGAGACAGACTAAATCCAGCAGAACTGTAGCAACGTCTCCAGGATGCTTCAAGAGACCTCCCTGAAAGCTACCTGAAAAACTATGCGCAAGTGCACCTAGGGCAAAAGCTGCTAAAGCTGCTAAACACAAAGGATAGTCACACCAAATGTTGATTTAATTTAGTTAATAGAAGTTAATTGATAAAGAAAATCTATTTATTACATTATTTTTGACAGCATCCTCATTTTACAGCATTTTTACACAAGTGCCTAAAACTTTTAACAGCACTGTAGCTTTGCAGGTAGGTCTCTTGAAGCATCTTGGAGACGTTGCCACAGTTCTTCTGGATTTAGTATTGTTGCACATAAGGCAGTTTTTATGTCAATATTTTGATAACTGAATTATGTTTCTACTCCAATTTGTTGTTGAAACATAAACATTTAAACCAGAATGGTTTCTTTCAACATACTTTCTGATGTTAATTCATGTTTATTTAGTGCTATAACTAGTAGTAAATAGGAAGAGAACACTGGTTCACATGCCGTTTGAACTGAAACGCTACCGTCAAAACCACAATTGTTGTTTAAAAATTGACAGGTTGACAGGAATTTGCAGGCCGAAACTTTGTTTCATATTAAAAGTAAGAAAGCACAAAGCTTATTGCGATTATTGGATTTCAGGTGCACTACAAATAATGCTTAGTGAAGTTCACACGTCAACAGAAAATAGCATAGAATCAGTAGACTAGAAGATTAGTCTTGAGATTTAAAAATCCATACCAGTATTGATTAAAAACTAGAAATCAATATGGTTAATCCAGCACTAGTGTCCACACAGCTGACATGTTTACCTGATGTAACTCATCCACATTGTGTGCACAAAATAGACACTGACACAGTCAGTCAGAGAAATGCTAATTTAACACCACTGTTTCGGTCATTAATTTCAACCCTCCAAAACTATTTTGGCCAAAGTAAAAGCTATAATTTTTAGCAGCCGTTACTCCAGTCTTCAGTGTCACATGATCCTTCAGAAATCATTCTAATATGATGATTTTCTGCACAATTTTTAATAATGGTTCTTATTAGTATCCATGTTAAAAACCGTTTTAGCTGCTTGATATTTTTGTGGTTGTGCACCATTCAAGTTTTCCACATTTTCAATATAACCCAACTTTGATATATGTTATGCTTCTGTGTGGCATCTGATTTCATGTGAACAGGCCTTGACACCTAATTGAAAACCACATTTTACATTTTGCTGAACTTTTTACTGATAGTTTTAAAATAGTTCAGCTCAACTTCATAAGTACCATATCGCCTGCCTCTACATCACCTGTGTCATTGTTATAAAAGCCTTCATCAGCACCGTCTGGATTGTCAAGACGAAAGACTGAAAGAGAATCATAAGCACCATTACTCACAATGTCCCACAAGCTCCCACTTTATGACCTTTTATGAGTGTAACACTCACTGATTACAGCAGACGGAGAGATTATTTATCCTTGACAGTAATTTGAGGCTGAAATACTAAGGTTTTTCAAACATTCAACAAATCTCCTAGTGTTTACAAGATACTATTTGTCTCTACCGCCAATATGTTGTTGGCATACTGAAGCTCTTTATGAGCTTTCCCCTTGTGATGAATGGCTCCGTCTTTATTTCTTTCTCTTTTATTTTTAATTGAAACTTGAGGGAAGTGACTTGCCCGTGAACTAGCCGGGGATCAAGCTCACACTATGCAGCTGTATGCCAACATCCCCACTAGGCACACACCTCATTTTCACTCTGCATTTGAAGATGAGATGACAAAATGCATTGGAGATCAGTGGTGTCAAACAGTGGAGGACTTTATTCAATGTGGCACACCACAAGGAATTTATAGCAGAGAATTCAGTC